ATTATATAAATATATCATATAGGTTGCAATATATATATGTATATAAATTATACATATATACATAAGATTAGGGTTGCTTCTTTCGTAGGGACCAAAATTAACAGTGGAGCTCTGGGGACTGTGTGGATCGAAAGGTGACCACTGGCCAGAATTCAGAGTAATAAGAGGTGTGCTATCTATAAAATGAGTGCACATTATAAGGTTTTTTTTTGTGTTCATAAGTGTGCAAGTGTTCAGTATTTATATTTATGTAGCCTCCATTTTTAAACTAAAAAGTGTATATTTTAAATTTAGAAGGCTACGTAAAAACTAAAAAGGCTGTTATCGGTTTGTATTGTATTTGAAAAAAAATAAATCATCTATGTTCAGTGTTCGCGTCATCAGTTTTTGCTGTTTAAACTTTTTTTTATCTCCGGGATCATATTATCCCTGGTTCTGTTAGACTGTCAATTATAAGAGCTATGAATAAGTACTTTATTGTGGTGCCTGCCTCAAAGCATTTAGGACCGCCCTAGTCGAAGTAAAGTTGTTTTTCACTAAAGTCGATAAAGTAAATTCTAGTAAAGGCCAACAGTCCTAAATTCGACGTGGGTGGCTCAAACAGTGCTCCTATAATATTCTGAAGGACTTTGCGTCAAAATGTGTTTACGTAGAAATCAGTTTTTCATATATTCTTTCCAGAAAAGTGGCTTGACATGATTGGTTGATATTCATATACAAATATTGGGCGGGCTTTCTCTCACACACCGGTGAGATATCACAAATACACACAAATAAACACTCAAAATCACATACAAAAATTTCATACAGCAGTTCTGCATAGGTCCTTTTGCACATAGAAACGTCTATAGCAGACGTACAATGTACTCCATTCTAATAAGGTTGATACTGAGCGATAGCGGTGAGTGCCGAAGTGTTTATTGTCGATGCTTTCGACACAAAGCTGTCTAGGCGCGGAGAGATGCGCATCTGAACCAAGATGCTCCTGTATCTCTCCTTGTTCCATGGAGTGGCAAGAATGGGGCAATGGGGAATCAAGCGACAGAGTGTTGGTGCAGTTTACACCTAGCAGATCGGAGTTTAGTTTGTATGGGTTTGTAAGTAACGTGCGGCGTGCTGAATTGGTGGAAATAGATGAGATGGAGGACGTCGGGGAGTCTCCAGAGTTGATTGACGACAGTGATAGCGAGAACAAAGACGATTATGATATTCATAGTTTTTATACAGATAGCAGCAGCGACGATAGTGATGTGTCTGAAGATATACGCACACGTAGTCCAACACATCGCCCTGGAAGACAAACACACAAAGCTATGCTACTTGTTGTGACAGCAATAGCATGTTTGTTATCCATGATCGGAAAACTGTTCAAACACGCACGACTGGGTGTTTTTTTTACCGATATCGGCCCACGTTTGAAGAGGTTACTGGCCACTCGCTACAAATGAATAGCTTTGATACGGACTTACGCATGAAATTTGGCTTGTTTCTAATACTTAAAGAAGCAATACGACCAGTGTGTGAAAGAGATCAGCAGATGGGAAACTTGCGTAACGGTGCTATTGCTATCGATGTACAGCTAGCGTTAACACTTCGAATACTATTGAGAGGTTTAGGGATAATATTATTTATTTCAAAAATGGCAAGTATGTATGACACAATGTATGAACATATGGCATGACTCGCATAGTCGATGTAGTGGTTCAGGAAAGATTGATGGGAAGAAGTGGTCAGTAAATTCCCGTTTAAAGATTGGGCCAAGTGAGTCGACAATGGAAGATATGTGCTGAGTCAGTTCGGGCCGGTGTTTTAGAAAAGATCCAAGGTGTTCGTGGAGGGTCCAGATACCGTGGAAGTCGTGGCACTCCTGTAATTGCTGAAGGAGGTCAGGGCCAATGGGCGGCAGTTTCGGGCCTACCAGGATGCGTCGAATCAGTTGTTGAATGCAGGTAAAGTGGCTGATAGTGAACTTGTGGCTACCGGGGAAGACAGGGCAGAGACAGCCGTCGGTGCGGTAGTCGAGCAATGCGAACATGTACGTATTCGTTACAATCATAGCACAGAGCTGTATTGGTGTAGACTCGAAGCAGCAATTGAAGCTGTCGTGTCTGGCTGTGTCTCGGTTTGAGGTTGGCGGTTTACCCATAACCAATTGGTAGTAGTATTGGCGCCGGGCCATTGCCACGATCTCCTTGTTGGACCAACGTTTTGTTGAGTTCTTCCTGATGTCGTCACAGCGTTGGCGAAGGGCTACATGGTCGGGTGTACGCCTGCCCGTGGTTTTGTGTACAGTTTTCAGGTGAGCATAAAAACTGTAGCCCAGGCGGGTTGCGTCAGAGGGGTATGTGGATTTGTGCTGGCCATTGAGTCGAGTTGTATTCCCAGGAAACCTCCAAGGTAGTCCGCGAATGGTCGCGCGGGGAGCAGGCCGCAAAAGTGAAGTAAGTTTGCTTGATGTTTGGGAAACCGAGGGTATTTAGTGCCCTTGATGATGGCTGCTGCTTGGATGAGTGCTGAGTTAAAGCGCTCGAATAGGAGGTCCAACGCATCCTTCCATATAGGCGGAGCACAGGCAATAATGTTCAGCCCATATGTAGCCGTGGATAGGATGAATGTTTTGAACATCATCAGTCGGTTGCGGGGGTGTTGCCAGCTGAAGCCATGGAAGCTATAAGCGCGGAAAGAGGCGATACCCAGTGAAAAAGCTGCAACCAGGGATTTCATATGTCTAGCGAGGTTGATTTCTTGTACTCCGTGAGAGAGTGAGAACCCCAGATATTTGGAGTGTTTCGGTTCGGCATGTGTGGGTGCCAGTTTCAGGGGAAGGTAACGTGTGTTCCAATGTGTGTCTACAAGCGTCGGCGTGATAAGCTCACCATTTATACGGAGGGTTGGCGCCGCGTGTCGCAAGTCGGTAGATCGTACTCGGGGTTTAATGACACCCTGTTCGAGGCCAGATTTGCGTCCCCACGCATCAATGTCATCTAAGAAGGGCCGGAGCGAAACCGATCGAGGGGCTTGGATCCGTATGTCATTGACGAATAAATAAGAAGGGAGGAGCTTGGGTCGAAATTGTGCTAGCGTGACAGCTAAGAAATCCATGTAGATAATAAAGAGCTGGGGACCATAGGGGTAACTAAATCCTTGTTCTTAATCATCGCCTGGGGCACTCATCAACGGTGGCAACTCCTCATTTTCGCTATGCACAATGGCGGGGTCTTCGCGGTGTAGGATTCGAATTTCACCAAGTAGGCGTGGGTGATGTCGGTGATGGCCGGTAGCTCATCTACGCCAGAATCGGGTCTCTTGCATGGCATGTAACACTGTATCTATATGCACCGTATGTGTTTCAAACGAGGGTGGGGATTTCGACCGTGCTCGTGGGTGACGCATGTTTTGGCAGAAGAATAGTACATGTGAAGTTTGTGTATTTTTTTAACATACTGTGTGTAGTGCCTTATATGGCCCTTGTTATGACACTTTTATGTTCGGTGTATTGTATCATTTTTTATGTTGCAATTTTCCTATGACATTGTTCGTATACAATCGAGGTGTCAGCATGTCATACCCTAGGCTGAGCCTGGGGGGGGGGGGGGGGGGGGCGTGCTATGTGTATGACGTCAGACAGGTTCTAAACCCATGGTTTTTCGGAGGAGCAATAAACCGAATGGCAGCTGCCAAAAAAGGATGCCGAATATGTCAGAAAAGCGTTGTCAACCATGATAGCCACTGAGTGAGTTCAGTACTCTAGGAGTAGCTGGTTCACAAATGAGAGTCGTTTATTGGTGAGAAATTTAGAGAACGTATTTTTATAAGTAAATAAGTAAATATTTATAGACTCTGGAGTCTGGGTCCCCGGGACTTCCAGACTTGGAACTCTGGAATTCTGGGTTCCTGATTCTGGGACTCTGGGAGTTTGGATCTCTTCTCGTCTCTTGTATTTTAGAAAAAATAAAGTAATAAATATAAATAAATATTTACACCTGTCTCGACTGACGACTCGCTTCGACTCTCGAGTCTCGACTTCTATTCACAAGTCTCGACTCTCGACATAGCCTCAAACCGTTTTTCGTTAAAACTTTATACGTTTACGTTTAACTTCGATTCCATATATGGTTCTTTGTATGCTCACAGGTGCACCTTGCGGGTCTTAAGATTTATTCTTGTGGGGATTTTACCATACGAACCAGTCCTATAAAAGATTTTAGGTAGGGTCTTCTGATGACATCATATTCGTTATAACGCTTTAAATTTGAATAAATATGCGTTTACGTCTAACTTCTATTCCGTACCCCCAGAGTCCTTTTTTTGTTCTATATAAAATAAACAAATGTCAAAATGACTATCAAGATTCAAATATATATATCAACCACAGGTCAAAAGTTCAAAGTTCGAACACATGTCGCCATAATTACTCTCATGCCTTCTATTTCTTTTTAAAAATCTAAATTTAAAGACTTTAAAAATACTTCCTTATTTGTTTTGATAAAAAAATAAAGACAAAATATGTAAGTTACAAAAATAAATTGGTAGTTTTTTTTTTTGGTTTTTCTACAAAAACCAATATTTAAAAGGTACGTAAATAAATACTGTCATAATAACACAAATACAGTAGCACGTAAATATTATTGATTTCTTATTCTATTTTGTTATAAAAAATATTTCAACTAAATACATACAATGTTTTATAGTATACATATTTATTTATTTATGTATTTACATAAATATATATTTACATAATTAAATTCCATAGTCATACGACATACATAGACCAAAATTTGCTTTGTTTTGCAACGAATGAGTTTTTATCATTTCTGTCTGAAGGTCAGTTTATCATAAGGTCCAATAGGATCTCTAGGCAGTGGCGAACTTCGAAATACTGTGATACAACGTCATCATTTTTCATTGGACCTGTAGGAACTAGGATACCGCACAAAAATACATTCAATACTTATTTCAACATTTGACTTTTTTATTTCACTTCTCACAATATGGAATTTCCAGAATTCGAAAAAAACAACAACATTACCCTTCCTCCCAGTGTCAGTGTGACAGTCACAGACCTCGCCTTTAGAGAAAGTCTCGTGAATGGTTTTGCATTAAATATATAGCCGCTTAGTCGCGTACTCGCGTGCGAATACAGAGCTTGTATACATGGTTATAACCGTCACAGCCGTAGTCGATTTAAAGGTAGAAACCTATATATAACCAAAAGCAAAATAGTACCAAGTCAGTTCTCTGTTTATTTCAATATAAAATGGACACAGTTGATATATTCAAAGTCATAGCCATAGTAGGCTCCTTTATAGCAGGACTCACTGGCCTGTTAGTCTTACCTCTACAGTTTAGACTAGACGATTCTACATTCAATGTGTTCGTCAGTTACAGGTATAATAGATTTCAATATAGTAAGTCAGTAGGCGAATGACTACTCCAGTAAA